TCAACCTAGAAAAAATTCTTAACCCAGAGAAAATTCAGTTCAAATAAAAAATAATAATCAAAATAGACGTTCTGTGAGCTAAATTACTAGAGAAATTCTCAATCCAGAGAAAATTCTAAACCCAGAGAAAATTCAGTTCCATTGCCAAATACTCCTGGAAGCTTGCAATTCACTGTTGCGCTTTGCCAAAACTTCTTTCAACATCTTCAGAGAAATTTGGTTAAAACACATTATGAAAACACATTTGATATCATGAGAAAGAGCATCGTTAGAGAAATTTGGTTAAAAACACATTTGATAAATTCCGAAGTCAGAGAAATTTGGTTAAAACACATTCCGAAGTCAGAGAAATTTGGTTAAAACACATTTTGAAGTCAGAGAATTTCAAAATTTCTCTGGAGATAAATCTAGAATTTCTCTGGAGAGAAATTTCTCTGGACCAATTTTCTTTGGATCAATTTTCTTTGGATTAACTTGAGGGACCTTAGATATTATGAAAATATTGAGTGTCCTTTATGCTGTAAAAACTTAATACCAGGGACCGTTAAAAAAATTCCCCTTATTATTATACTATGATACCATAATAATAATATGAAACCACCACACACACTTCTCTTAAATATGTGTATATATTTATTATTATTATTATTGTCTATGTTATATAATTATTATTAGTATTATTATTATTATTATTATTATTATTATATTTGATTTTGTGTAATAATTTCTACCTCATGTCTTTTATTTAGTGTTGTAAATATTCGGTATTATAATAATTCATTGCCCTACTTATTTCTATCCCATTCTTTTACTTGCTTTCTTTATTTGTACATAAAAATCATATTTTGTTGTTCATCATATACATGCTTTGCATCTATGTTTCATGCATCTTGATTTGGTTAAGTTTGTATCTATGGATTTAATCAATTAATTATGTGCATTACCTTATATTCTTGAGATGATTCACATATCATATATTAGAAGTCGAATATTTAGTCGCATCTCACGAGTGAATTGTATTAGGATTTTGTATATAAGATCATGCATGTTTTTCTAACTTTGTTCCGTAACTGTTCACGGGACGTCGGTAAATATGTAAGTTTTTATGATTTAGCATCCCGCTTGTGTGTATTTTCCGTTCTATGTTTAGCATTCTATCATAAGACTATTTGTTTATTTGATATAACTTTATGAATGTTGGTGGATAGAGATTGTGTCACTTAATTTGGAATAATATTGATTTTCATATTTGTAAACTCAATTTCATTGTGTTGTACATTTTCAAAACTTTTTTAAAATGCATGAAAATCAAGTTGCTCCAAAATGAATGACATGGTATATACTTATATGCTTCATACAGTAAATTTTAGGATTTATTAAATAAACCAGAATATGAACATATGAAGTAAATAAAATTCATATCATGGTTTAGTAGAGTCCGATTTTTGATCGAGTGAGCGTGGGTGCTCAATTAATGACATTCCCCTCTCATACCAACATTCCGAACCAAGCATCATTCGTTACGATGAATAGTGGCTTTGCCACGAGTCACGGGTTTCCTAATTTTTTCAAAATATTAGGTGGCGACTCTGAGATCTGGTGATGTAGTCCATTTCTGACAAAGGTTTTGTAATAAAATAGATCTTCTATAAAAATTACCGTATTTGAACTGTTATCTATATTTCATATTGCACTCGTGAGACTAAATCAAAGAAATTGAGGGTCTGAACTATTTAGCGCACAAATACCCCGGCTGATGCGACACTATGATCACATGATCTTAAGATATTTTGTTTATCATTTTATTAATTTAGTAGGTCCCATTATTCAAAAAATTGGGAGGCTTATAATTGTCTTTTCCCTTGTCTAATTATACAAGAAAATTTACTTTAACCCACTGTGATTTGAATTGTTTGAATTTTACCTCCAATTTCCCTGTGATTTTAACTGTTTATTTTAAAAATTTCATGCAAATGAGAGAGAGAGAGAGAGAGAGAGAGAGAGAGAGAGAGAGAGAGAGATGATATGAACAAACAAAAGGATGATTGAAGTATAGGAAGGAAAAAAAGATGATAGGAACAAAAGCATGATTGAAGTATAGGGGTTAAAACATGGTATGAACAAACAAAAGGATGATAATGCTTCATATCATCTTAAACTATCAACTCTTGGACTGACATAGTTAATAAACCTATTACATTGGTGGATTTAAAACCAGCAAGTATGTCTAGCTGATGTATAGTTTCTTATGCATGCATAGTGCAAGAAAAATAAAAGACAAATTCAAAGTTAAATGTTGAGACTTGAGATTGACTCTGACCATATGCCACTTGGTATTATAATTTAAACAATAGCACGGGATAAATATCAATATTGAAGAAACAGTTATATTGATTATTGATCAAGAGTCTAAAATGTTGATATATATCGGCTGATATTTAAAACATGTCTGCCATCATCAATCACAGAAGATAAATAGTGCCCCAACATCCATAAATATTAATTAATATAATATGCTTTCACTTGCATAAATGTTCAGTCCTTGTAGTTGTTGTAGCACACTTTGGTTTTATAATCTAATAAATAATCATAAAAAGAAATGCAAGAAAAACACTCTGGTTTTATAACCATACCTTGTGCACAAAATGCAAGCACCGGCCCTTGGTGTATAGAACATATTACATTGTGTAGATGTTAAGCTGAAGCAATCGTAGGGCAACTCTCCTTTGGCAGCTTACCGAAGATTAATACAGATAAGTTATGATTTGCACCATAACTCTCTGTTAGCTGCCTCCAGATCGTTGCCCTATAACTGGTTCGCTTACTAAAACCTTGTCATGTTGTCGTGTCGCTGCACTAGAGGCTCACATTTTTGAAGTTTGAAGTACCTCTGGATTATGTTGGCGGGCCTGTCTGGAGCTATATAGGCTACTTGTCATTAATGGCCGTAGTAGCAATGGAATAAACCGTTGAAGAAAATAGGATATGCCATTAGTGCCATAGGGTTATGCCATGGATATCCTTTGATGCTTGCTTTTTTAGACATTCGATGTAATGCCTCCTTTTTCATGAAAAGTTCCTTACCATGATTTCGGCCTAAGAATGTTTTAGAGGTGGAGAGAGAAGAAGGATATAAAGCAATTCAAAGGAGATGCCTTCTTTTGCTTATACAAGGTGGAAGCAGAATTTTGGTCTTGATCACTACCCTTGTGAATGAATTAAATTATCTGAATTCGACTTGTGCCAACTCGTTAACAATTTGCTGGTCTATTTTTTTAAAATTTTTTTAAGTTACTTTAACAATCTATTACTCGACTCGATAAGTTTATATCCATTATAAATATAATAACACTAGTCAAGCTTGATACATATTCAATTCCTTAAAATTTGATTTGAGATTGTTTTGTCTTGTTAACTTTTCAAGTTAAATTTAAATAATTTTGTAATTGATTAGACTCGGTTTGTTTGCCCTCTAGTGAGGTATATCCAACATTATATTCTTCTGATATTTGATTTGCTTTATGTTGTTTGGCTTGAGGCATTTGAATAGCTAGAACAACCCATCAATGACAATGCAGTTGTCCAATCAAAATGATTCGCAGGAGAAAATATGGAAAATGAGTGGGAGCACTAATTAGTGCTACTATTAATGATGTGGCAGTAGGTACCACCATGAATGATTTGATATTTTGGCCTTGGTGTTGTATTTTTTATATTTTTTTATTGAGTGTCATGTCATTAGTGGTCTTTTTAGAGCTCCAAAATTAGTGGTCTCTAGCATTGTTGAGAAAATATTCATTACCCCAAGGGGCAAATCTAGGTAGTGCTTCAACCAAACTATTAATTGGTTGAAACAGTGAGTCCCACTGCTTGTTTGTCTCCTTTGGGAGAGACAACTGGACACGTGTCTAAACATAAATAGGGTGGAGCAATACTTCGGGGGCAATGAATAATTTCTCAATTCGCAGAAACTAAAATTATCTGCAACCTTGCTTGCCTTTCATATATATTTCTGGATACTCTCTATCTTAGTTATCTCCAAGTAATGGGACTAAGATATTTATATCCACTTGGAAAAGTGTAATGGGACTAAGATATTTATATCCACTTGGAAAAGTGTGTGGGGGGGAAAAAAAAAAAAAAAAAAACCAAGAAGAAAACAAAAAGGAAAGACACGTCAATGGATAATCCTCAAGTTGAATTTCTTGGAGAACTAAAATTTTGTCACCATTTTTTCCCTCTTTTTGTGTGTGTGTGTGTGTGTGTGTGTGTGTGGTATTGTTATGGTTTTTGAAAATGCAATGTGCAGAATTTTAAAGGGTGATGTTGCTTGGCTAAGTTGTACTTCAAGGTTTTGTTTGGGTATCACAATATGTATCACCTTATCTGGTTTTGTTTGAAGCAAATAATAAGTCTGCTTTGGTTTCTACTTATTGCTTGTCATTATGAATAATGAATGGTTTTGTTGTAAAAGGGGGGGAGAACTCTGTTCGGAAATAAGATGGAATTACATTCAATCTGGTTTTGGAAAACATTCTTCATGTCATCCTTACCAAACATGCTTCATTTGAGTCATTCCTAACCTAATATATATATATATATTTGAATCACATCACATCATATTATCAATTGGCTCTCTGTTAAAAAGCCTTCTAATTCTTAAATCATAAATTCAGCTTACTTGTATTACTGTAAGTACATTAAGCATGTGTATTTTATTCTAGTGAATACTTATATTCAATATTAGTTTTCATTCTTTTCGTATGGACAAAAGAATTGGGACATAGAAATGATAATTGTGTTGATGTGCCACTTGGCAGTCTTTGCTTTATGATTCTATCTTGAACACAGGACTCGATTGCTTGACTCCTATGAAGTTTGAATGAGTCAAAATTCTTTCACACTATTTTTGTTCCATGTCCTTCCTAGATAGGAGTCATAGGAGTAGCAATTAATCACTATTCTGGAACTACCACATTATCTTTGATATTAATTGCTCATTTCAAACAAAATAAACCCTAGACTTTCAATTACTAGAAACGAGCAGTTATTCCATATTTTATTCCATATTTTATGAGCATATCAAGTGATATGCTTCAAAAATAGTATAATTGGTGAAAATAATGCGATCCACACCCACATAGTATTCTCACCCCAAATAATTTGTCACTTGAAATCCACCTAATATATGACATGAACAATAAAATAGAAAGCCACAGTGAGATATATCACTTTGATTCCTCACTTGCAAGCCTCTCACTTAGTATCCTAACTCCCATGTACCTGCACCATTTACAAACATAGTACTTATCAGTGATAATTAAGCACATTAATTCTAAAGATTTCATGGAACAGAGACAAGAGGAAACATCTCATATGAGAACCTTTATGTATTTTATTTATGTGCAAGTAGACTTTTTGTAATGCAAAAGATTGCTAATCACGTCTATATAAAAAACACAAAACCAAACACACAAAATATATTGATGGACAAGAATTTCTTAAAATGTTGGGTTTGTCTCCATTCCACATAATGGACTGAAAGGTGTTGTTTAAGCAAGTGGACTTCACTATTATGGGATCAATTTCGATGATCTAATTGATTCATGAAAAAAAACTTGGATTGATCCAAAGATTTCAATCTTATGATTTTATTGTATTTATCTTTAAAAAATAGACAATAAAAATGATTTAGAAAAACCGTCTTGTTTTTCTACAGACAAACATGATAAAATTATATGTTTTGATCTTTTTATTTTTTTATTTTTTTATAGTGATATATATATATATATATATATGGAGCCATACAAAATGAACAAGCCGGAACATCAAAGTGAGACCCCTAATAGGCTTTAGGGGTCCGGATAACACTCTCCAGTCTAGATTAGATTTGACTAGAGAGAATCCATGCTCATAAAAAATTAAGTTGAGGAACACAAAACAAAAAACAAGTAACAAAACCGGACACGTAATATATACGGATGGGCAAGAATTTTTAGAAGTTGGTCTCACTAATAAATTCTGTAAAATTTTATTCATTCATATATATATATATATTTTGTGTTTGATTTATGTGTGCCTAGCAAAAATTTTCTTAAATTGGGCCTTGCCAACAAACATCATAAAATTCTATCAATTTATGCGTTTTGTGTCCAATTCTATGTCAATTTCTGTATTCCTACCAGCACTAAAATTACCAGAATTACCTGCCAAGCATCATGACAGTAGCTTGAGGATTAGTGCCAGGAGAGTTATTAAAAGTAGAACCATCAATAACTCGCAGTGCATCCACACCAAGAACCTTATAATCACGATCCACCACCATCCCCACTTGACAACCTCCATGATAATGCCATATTGTCATCACTGTGTCCTTGCAAAACTGTTCCAGCGACATCGATGCATTACTGTGCTTCGGCAACAAGTTCACCGGAAAGCTCAGTGTCATGTTCAGGAGAGCTTGCACCGGAATGTTTTCGTATCTGAATTTCGAGAATGACTTTGATTCGATGATCCTCTCGATGGTTCTGATCCCCTCTACGCATCTGCGCAGGTCCTCGGGCTCTTTGAAGTAGTTGAAAGTGACCGATGGGTTATCTTTGGGGTTGCGAGTTCGGAGCTCGAGGTGGCCGGTGGAGAGGGGTCCCATGACTTTTTCTAGTATGAATCCCCCTTGGAAAGCTGCTTGGTTGAGAGTGCTCATGGTTTCCACAGCTTTGTCTATGGCTGCTTGTGTTCTTTGTTTGGGTGGCACTGTTGAGAGTTGGCCTATCTGCAAACATATGTCCATGTTAGAGAGAGTTACAAGTTAATTATTGAGAAGTTGAATTAACCTATGGGAGGAAAAATAATTTAAATAACTTGAAAAGAAGAATCTTTTAATTTGCAAAACGTTGTACTAAGCCAACAGCGGTTTGGTTCAGCGGAATGTGTAGGCCAAAAATCGTTTTGACTTGTGTTCAACATTTTGTAGTTTCTTGGATGGCGCTCTTACATTGTACTTAAAGCGAGGTTTTAGTCTGGAACTGAAAGCTGGCGTAACTTAGGTACTCTTTTTTTTTGTACCCAAAAAAAAAATTTGTACTGAAAAGACCTTATAATTTACATGTATTCATATATTGAGTGAAGTTTTACAACGAACTAAGTTATTTACTCAGCTCGTTTCAAGTTTATTTGAAATCAACTCATTATATAAACAATTAACCCTAAATATATTACCACTAAACTTGACTCGATTATAAGCATTAAAAAAAGGTTCGGATTTTGATGCGTAATTAACTCAATTAAAACTAGTTTGATATTGGCTTGAGAGATAAATATATAAAGATGAACAGTTTTAAAGCTCAATAGTTTTTATTTCAAATTTAAACAACTTACAACTAGTAGCGGCCCAAGATTTTGAAAACTTTTGATTAAATATCAAAATAAAACCTTATCTAACTAAATCTTTGAAAAGTTGAGAATTTTCTCAATATAAAAAATAAAAAATAAATAAATAATTAAAATTTTATTGTGAATCTTAAGCTATTAACTTAATAATTGAGCTACTTCTGATTTATGCTGGACAAAAAATTGCCCCAAAATAAGTATAAGGTGAGGTTACCTTAGGAGAGAACATCCCATAGTCTCTAGGAGGAGGAGGGGGACCTTGACCCCCAAAGTTTTCGCCACTAGCAGCCTCAATGTAGGTTCCAAGGTGAGTGATCCCCACCACTTGTATCAGTGATATCTCCACAGGAATGGGAGAGGGTATGAATATGGCATTCATTGGGTTATCAGACATGCCCTGGCCCACCATGGGCTGGTCCAGCACCACAGATATGTTATGGGCCTTGAGGTGATCTGCTGGGCCCACTCCACTCAGCATCATAAGTTGTGGGGTTCCCAGTGCACCTGCTGTTACAATTATCTCATTCTTGGATCCTCTCTTTAAGTATGCTTTGTGTTTTACCCCTGATGCGTCTCGGAAGGTCACTCCGTGAGCTACTGGCCTTGATTTCCCTGTTTATTGGTAATTGTTTAACTAATTAAAAAAAAAATGAAATTTTTACGGAATATGATACAAATGTAAGACAAAAGTTAGACCCTATATGCGAATCACACTTATATATTGTTGCACATCTTTATTTTACGAGTGTATTTCATTCTGTAAAAATCTTGTGTTTCTAGTAAAGCTAGACAAAAACAAGAAGAAATTGCAAATCATTGGGGGAAAAAATGAAAATAGGAATGATTTGCAATTACTTTCATTTATTTCCACTAATATTCAATATTTTAAAAAAATAATAGGAAAAAGTTCAGGAGTAAGGGTGGCTTGAAAAATGCTTGGAAAATAGGATGTGCCTAAAATTAATAATTTAATTCACGTACTTATTGTTGGAAAATAATAATGAGAATTAATAATACTGAGAAATCATTTAATTAAAATACCCAATAGAGAGAGCAAGGTTGATCTTGGAAATGAATTGAGAAAAATTAGATACATATGATCGAATAACAGAAAAACACAAAGTATTGAGTATTTTGTGTATTTTTCTGTGGAAACAAATTCACTCCCCTCTATTAGGAATCACTAAAATATACAAGAGTTTTAGTAATTGTTAGGCGTGAAGAAAAAATATTCATAAAAAAAAAAAAAAAGTATCAAATAATTAAAATTTATTTTAAATGTGAATCCCATAACTATCAATACTTCTGATTAAATTCCTGAATATTTTGGTTAGTTTAGTTTTTCCGCCGCTCCATATCTCTCGAGCATGCCTGAGTAAATGGTGTGGGCCTCAAAAATCTTTCACTCATCAGTTTGGTTTCACTTTTGAGAATTTATGTTTTTTTAGAAAATTTTACTTCTTTGTTTTTCATAATTTTTTTTTTCACTGAATTTTTTTTAATATTTTAATTAATTTTTTTAACTTTTAGACAAAAGTAACATAAATACACTTAAAAAATATAATATTTGTGAATTTTTTTTAAAAAAATTTCATTAAATACCAAAATAAATAAATAAATAAAGATTCAGTACATTTTTTATATTTTTGTGTATTTATTAATTTTTTAAAATATTTTTTCACAAATATTTTACTATTTAGATACATTTAAGTAAAATGCATCTAAAAAAAATATTAAAAAAATATTTAAAATTTTAAAAATATTCACTAAAAATACAAAAAATAAAATTTTAATTTTCAAAAAACTAAAACCACACGTACTGCTTAATTTCTAACTAGATTGGCATTTCGAAGTTTCGATAAGTTTTAACAGGTGATAGTTGAAAAATTCCACTCAGTGTGTTTGGTGTTTTTTTTTTTTTTTTTTTTCTGTTTTTTCTTTGTGTTTATGTTCGTGTTTAGTGAATTTTTCTTAATATTTTTTAAAAAGTTTTCAATTTCTAAATTCAACTATGCCAGAAGATTAAAACATTTTTAAAAAATCCAAAAAAGATAAAAATAAATAAATAAGTAGTGGGTTTTTAGCTTATTTTTTATTTTTCAAAGTTTTAAAAAAAATTCAAAATATTATTATTTTTAAAATTTGTCTACACAAGATGGACCAAAAAAGTACCAATTTAGATATAATTTATAAAAAATAAAAAAAAATCACTAAAGATTAAAAAAAAATTGAAAAAAAGGGGAAGGTATGTAGGTGTTCCAAACCCATGAGCACCGCCCCTAGAAGGAACTAAGCATCGTAAAAAAAAGAAAGGGCGGGACCCATGGGTGTCTATCACGCGTTTTTTAATTGATAATCCGAATTGTTCAGTGTGTAGAACTCGTCGAGTACTATATATTTGTAAAAAATTACATTGATCAAATATTGATAGTTATCTTATCGGATTATATTTCTGTCAACTGTTTATTTTTTTACCGTTCATTTTTTTTTATACAAACTGATTTGATCATGTAGCTATCGATATCCGATCAAATTGATTTTTATTGACATATAGTACTAGATAAGTTTTACACATTGAACGATTCAGATTACCAAAATGGGATCTGTGATAGGCCCCCATGGGCCCAGCAAGACCCTCCAGTCCGATCACGGTATGGAGGGAAGCCAGCCCTTAAAAAAAATACTAGTACTAATAACAAGAATTTTTGCATAAAGATTTTATTAAGAATGATGAGACTATGTTATTTTTTAAATTATGAGTCATAATAGATATTTTGACTTTAAATGGATTAATATGTTATTTTTTGTATAAAAATTTTGTTTGTAAGCTTACAAAACATTTATGTGAAAAACTCGTACAACACTCAATTGTGTAAGGAATGGAGATGAATTTTATACAATGAGATACAAATGTGACATTAAGGGATGGATTTGTATGTAGACAAGGTAGGTCTCGTAAATGAAATTCACCATTTGTCATCTATCAAAATCATATGCACTTAAATTTATGGACAAATTATACCAGTAATTTCTATATGTATATATATATGTATATTATTATTTTGGTTCTCACACTTTCAATTGACTCGAATTTAACTATTGATTTTAAATTTGTATTAATTTAATTCAATTGATAACGCCATTAAAAAAAAATTATATGAAAAATGAGCTTTGTGTTAAATGATGTTAACTAATTGAATCAATCAAATTTACAAATTTTTTTTTTCTAAAAGCATGACGCAAGTCATTTATATGCACATTTTTTATAAAATAATGCTATCCATTATAATCAATTAGATCAAATTAAAACTGAGACAATAAAAAATGAACAAATTAAAATTACAATGACCAAAATAATAATTGAGTGGACTATCAGTATAATTTGTCATAATTTTTGTAATTATTCTATTAAGATTGTTTTGAAAACTAACTATTTTAATTAAATTTTTTACATCTAATATAAGATATGAGAAGAATTGATTTTTTGCTTTTTTTAACTATTTTGCTAATATATAGCCAAACTTACACAAAGTTGAACGACAATGCTACGTAACTCAAATTTTGTGGCTCAAAAGTGGCTCAAATGGCGAAAACGACGTCGTTTTAAGTACATAACAACATAAAAATAGCCAAAACGACGTCGTTTTGGCCATTTAAGCCACAAAATTTGAGCTACGAGACATTTGCCAAAGTTGAATATCACTGCATGAGTTTATAAAACAAAACAAACACGTACGTACCTCTAGTTCGAAACAATATCTTATGAACAGTAGCACGAAGAAGAACAATGAGGCCATCAGGATTGGCATTCTCCAACAAATCAGCCGAGGTGTGTCGCCTCCCTTCCTTGTCAAATATAGTCCCACCAACCTTAGTCCCATACAAATGATCATACGTAAATCCATTGTACGGTACAACCCCACTTTCCACAAGTCCAGCTCTCACCGCCGACTGCCACTCCCTCACCGGCGGCTCATACGCCACCACCTTCTCCACCCACTCGTACGACTCCTTCACCAACCTCTCGTCCCACCCCGCCGCCCTCACGTACTCCGTGGCGGCGCGTGTGTAGAAGCCTGCATTCAGGCAGCTGCCTCCGCCCAGGACTCTGCCTCGGGCGTTGATTACGCCGTCTTCGGAAATGAAGCGCTGGGATGGGGAGGTGGGAGAGAGGTCGGAGAGGGAATTGCCGAATGCTGAGAGGTTGGTGATATTGGGGTCGCCGTAGGGAGAGTCGCCGCGTTCGAGGACCAGGACGGTCGAGTTTTGGGAGAGTGTGGCGCCTAATGGGCAGCCGGCGGTGCCGCCGCCGATTATGATGTAGTCGTAGAATGATTTTGAAGGAGCTGTGGTTGCTTGATGCATGAAGGTGTAGGTTGGAGCTAAGAGAGAGAGAGAGAGAGAGATTAGTCTAATAATTAATATTAACTCACTTTCATTATCTAATTAATGTGGGTACTATGAAACAATATGTCATGGAGAAATTATTCAAATTCTCTTGGTGTAATGCCTCATTTCATTTACATACTACCATTTAATACTTTTTTTTTCTAAAACCTTAACACAAAAGTAACAATAACAAATCTCACGGTTTAAATCAATAACTATTTATTTGATGCACCAATAGAACTTACTTCAAAAATATTAAATAATTTAATCATTGTTTATGTAATATTTCAAACCAATCACTAAGCAAGATATGGTGATTTACATTTATTAAATATATGAGAGACAAAATATGATCTATTTAAATAATTGTAATAAATATCATATAAAAAATATCACATGAAAAATTTAATAAATTTTCAGTTAATATCTATTCTATATTTTGTTGGTTTCCCGATACATTTTTTTTTCCCCCTTATTTTGGCTGTTTTATGTTATTGTGAATGGCCGTCACATGAAATTATTCACAAGGAAAAGAAAAATTAGTGACATCATGCGCTCTTTGAATTTTTCAAGGTAAATAGGGCATGTGTACAATTCGGGTAGTATTACAAATTTGGGTAAATTATTCTTTTATCCCATGGCCTATTTTGGTAATATGGTAAAAAGTGATTTTTTAACTTTTAATTAAATTTTTTATTTTTTTAAATAAATGATTTGAGAAGTTGGTAAAAAGTTACTTTTGACTTTTTTAATTAATTTTTGTTTATGATGTCAAATCATAATAAAATAATCAAATTATCCCCATTTAATTTAAAATATTTACAACTTCACTCCTATAGTACATTTTGACTCATGAGGAGTAAAATTATAACTTCGTCATTAGTTAAAAACCAACTTTTCAAAAGAAAAAAAAAAGTTAAAAAAATTAACTTTTGACTTTTACTACAAGTCAAAAAAGTGGCTAAAAATTGTTTCCAAAAGTAGCCTAAATTTCAGCATTTTTTCTTCTTAGCCTTTAATTTCTATTTATTTTTTTCATTTTAACTCTTAAAGCGTTTTTTCCCCAACTTTAAACTCCAAAGGAGGGCTGCTAATATTCTATGTGAACATGCACAACATACGTCATGCATATATATATGTATATATATATTTAGGACCAAAAATATCTAGATGTTAGATACATACGTAACGTTCATTGTGTGAATTACCATAAAATATGAAAATTAATGCAATTTATTGGCAACAAATTTATTTTTGTAAACGGTGGTGTTACATATACCAATTAGTGTACTAACTAGTGTTCCAGTACTAGTTATGATATTATTATTGACCCAACTTATTAATTACATTATAAATACCAAAAATTTTTAAAATTATGACACATCATCAATTGATATACTAGTTAATATACTAATTAATGCATATAGAAGCAAAGCATCAACCCAGCAAAAAAAAAAAAAAAAAAAAAAAGCAAATTCGAGGCAAATTTGAGCCAAAAAATTTGAGGCCTCAATCATTTTTGTTCAATTAATGAGTTAGTTGAACAACATTTTTAAATTCAAACTTAAGTGGCAGGTGCAAGACACTGACCCCTATTTTATGCAAAGTTTCAGTTATACATTTTATTTTATTTTTTTCATTTTAAAAATAAGATATATTCATCAAAATAGGTTTTAATTAAAAAATGTTAGTTTCACATCACTTTATTAATCCTTGATGGGGTTAAAAGTTAAAATCCAAATTATATAAACAAAAAGAATCAATTAATTTAGCAGCTCAATTACTAGGGCATGATCTTTTCATATAAGAAATTATAGCTCAAACCTCCAAAGGAAAATTACGGACAAATTCTAAAATGATCAAATGCCACATAAGTTATTTTCACTTAAAAAAAAAAAGTTAATTTACTCAAAATATTGATGTGTCTAGATTTAATACTATATAGTGCAACTCTCACTTGAAATGAATCTCAACTATTTAATATTTTTTATATTGACGATGGATTAATATGTATTCTATGCACTATGTTATATATTTTTGTAGTGTGTTACGTATTTAAGTAGTAAATATAACATATTTTTCTAACAGGAGTTACAACAAATTGTGGTTGAGAAATGAGTAGTGTTACACATTTTTGTGGTAATGTTATACATTTTTATATTCAAATATTTTCTAACCACAAACTGTATCACAATACCACAAAATACGTAACATTACTATAACAATACGTAATTTTATTCTTAATCATAAATTGTCGTAACTCTTACTAAAAAAATATATAACATTTACCACAAAAATACGTAATACACCACAAAAAATATGTAATAACATGTATATGGTATAGTGTTTTCCAAAATAAAAATAAAAACAAAAATAACACTACAAATGATCACATTTGTCTACTATCAATTGTTTACAATTTCATGTATACATCAAATATTTTATAGTAACCCTATAATTAATTGAATTTCACTAGTATCATATGTCAGTGACTTCAGTCTTTGGTTGCAACTTTCCTCTTAGGTTGGAAGCAAAGTGACCATGAAAGTTAAATAACCAAAATTGGACAAGAAAGCAAGCCCGTGATCAGCAATTCCTCAAAAGCTTGCTTTCATGGCTGCCATTTGGGGGCCAAACCAAAGTTATCCATAAATCTTGTGTACAAGCACAGAAAGCATTTTACTTCTGGTTTTTCATGCCGACATTTCTGTTCAAAGACTAATGAGAGAGAGAGAGAAGTGAAGGACACAACAAAACATGAGATTAATCCATGCAAAGAAAAACCGAGAAAGATTTTAGTACCTTGTGCTGCAGAACAGAAGCTAGAGTAATGGAGGAAGAGAATTCCAGCAATAACAGCACCAAGTAATCTCCACCGTCCAAAATCCATCATCATCATGCAATAACTCTACAAGATGCCGACCTCTCTCACTCTCTCTATCTCTATATAAATGTATAAATGAGGGAGTGTTTTAGTTTTGAAATAATTTCACAAACCAAAACCGACAAAATCTATGAATATATATAAGATATGAGGTAGGAAGGAGGGCAGCGATCTTGGCGGCAATAAGTTCTGAGAGTATAAAGATTCCTCTCTGTCTCTCTTTCTATGTCTCTTTCTCTATCGCTTTGATAGGGTTTAGGCTACAAATAACAACAACAACAAAAACAACACAAAGATTCAAGAAATGCAGAAAATGTGATAAGCCCATTACAGCAGCCTGGTAGCTTGTCCTCCGCCGAATTTAAAGCCTATCAAACTCCAACTAAACTGGTTATGGGGTGGTTTGGTGTGAATTATAGGAGTGATTATAATTTATTTTAATAATACTGTTAGGTATTATGAAAAATCTTTCATGAAAATAATCATGAAAGTTTTGTGACCCTTGAATTACACTTAGAATAAAACACCACACACTAATCAAGGTAATCCAAAGATCATAAATTTTTCATGATCATTTTCATGAAATTTTTTTCATGATCCCTAACTTTTCCCTAATTTTAATTTGAGAATTTATATCAGATTGTGGCCCCGTTTGGTAGAACTTTGAGAAAGTGATTATAGCTTATACCTTAACAGCTTATAGCTTATAACTATGAACATAAGCTGATTTTTGACTTATAAATTAAATTTCTCCTCCCCCACTCAAAGAATAAGTTGATTTTTAACTTACAAAAAGTTATAAGCTATATTGTTAAGCTGAACCAAATACATCAAAATAGCTTAAATTAAGCTAAAAACTAAAATAAGCTGGAAATAAGCCCTACCAAACAGGGCTTGTTTACTGCAGCTTCCGCTTATAGTGTTTTAGGCAGAAATAGTTTAAATAAGTTGAAAAAAGCTGATTATTTAGAAGCTGAGGAAGTGATACTTTTAGTTTCTGCTTTCTGATTATTAGTTTTTAGCTTACAGTAAGCTGCACCAAATAACACCTATATCATGTCTCCTTTCCATACTTGTTTACCCCATATTTATTTTTTTGTTGATTATGGCCTATTAATTATGGCCAAGTTCAATTATAGTTTGTCGATTGAAATCATAACTATTTTTAAAGAATAACTTTGACTACATTTGTTTTTATTATTATTATTTCTATCGACAGACATGTTAATGTGGCATAACAGATGTGTTAAGGACGTGGTATGATGACATGTTCAATAGAGGGCCAGAAAGTTAGTTATTGCAACAATTTAAAAGTTAGTTGCTAAGATTAATGAGCCAAGATCAAATCAAGCACCAAATCTATAAATTGGTTCCTATCAAACATGAGATATGGATAATGTTGAGCAAATCAAGGGCTTCTTAAGGAAATCGTGGGCTTAGATTATTTCTTTCTCTTATGTGACTGAGCCTATAAATAGGCTAGGAAAGATACAAAGAGCAATCAATTTATAATCTCAATAACCATTCACAAGACGTAATATTTATCTACGAGTAGCTTAAATTAGTAGTTGTTAGGAGTAGATTAGTGAGAGCTTTTTCCAATCCCTATTTCTCTTCTTTCTGTCGATTTCTGTATTTTTCATTTCTTTGTTTTTGTTTAAGTTCTTGTAACTAATAACAAGTGACAATTTAATTAAATAAATAAATATTCTATTATATTCCATTTATTCTTTATTTAATTTCCTCCAAGAAAGTCATTAATCTGTTTAAAGTATAGAACTCAACTACAAAGTCTGATCTTTTTACGCTCGAGCGGCCTTTCCTGCGCTCAAGCATAGATCTTTGTTCTGAAACACGCGTTTTAGTCAGACCACTCGAGAGTCCATTCATGCACTTGAGCGGAGATCGCGATTCTGTTTGCTATAAATTTGCTATTAATTCAGTTTCTAGGGTACAACTTCCAAATCTTCTTCTTGAGTATTAAGGTTTTCATCTAGAGTTTATTTGCTTGTTTTCTTTGATATCTATGAGGGTTTATATCATGAATTGAGTGGATTATATCAAATGATTTATTTGTTTTCGTTTATTTACAAAAGAGAGAATAATTATTTGGTGGATTTCGTGAAACTTAAGCTTGAAGTTTTGGTGGATTCTGGAGTGGCTCATCGTTGTGGATTTGACATCAGCGTTGTGGATTCAACGTTGGGCAAGACAACTCTGAGATGAAAACAGTGGTGGAGAAGGTATATAGGGGTAGGTTCAATTCGAGCGTGGATTCGCTAGGTAATTGAGAGTACACTTGTGTAATTCTTTTTTGTTTTCTTAGTGGATTGTTTTGTGGCATTTGCCCGTGATTTTTTTATCACAATTGGAGGCGCTCCAATTGTGATTTTTTCACGTTAAATCGTTGTGCTTATTTGTCTTTGATTGTTTGATTGAAATTGTTATTTATTGTTTAAAATTGATATATAATCACAAATCAATATTTCAGGATTTTTATGATTTTTCAACAACAATGGTTGAAATTTGCTATATGTAGTGAATTCTTTTTAATTAGCCAAAATGTAGCTAATAAAGACTTGTTTTATTTTAAAAATAAGGAATGTGACTATTTGTTATGTCAGTCGACAGAGCCAAAGATGAAATGTTCACAAATCGACAACGATAGATTAAACATTACCATGGATATAATATAACTCTTCAAAAATGTGAATTGCTTGCACCATAAAATATTTTTTGTTGATTGTGATAAACCGCCTTATACATCATTTAATTGAATTTTATTCTTCAATCCATTTAAATTAGAGGGGCATTGGTCCCACCATATTTTATTTTTCTGTTGATTGTGACCTATTTATTATGGCCAAGTTCAATTATGAACTATCGATTGAAATCATAACTATTTTTAAAGAATAACTTTGACCACATTTGTTTTTATTATTATTATTTCTGGGGATGTAAGAAAAATCGAAATAATCGACCAAACCAATTGAATCGGACCAAACAGGCTATATTTGATCTGTTTTTTTAACAAGAATCGGTCTATGCAATTTTTAAATTTGATTTTTTTTTTTAATTTTCAGTTTGGTATCAGTTTAAACATCTTGTGCACCAATCTATACCAAAATCGACCGCTTCAACATATATTGTATTTATAATATATATATATATATATATATATATATATATAATTTAATAATATAACGATATTAATAAGTATAATAAATTATTAACCTTAATTAATTAACCTTATCATCTTTATAATCTAAGTTTGTAAATTCTTATTATATATAATCTTAATTATGTTCTTGAAATCTCAGTATTTTAAAAAAAAAAATTATTTTTTTTTAATTTAGGAATTGAAAAGTATAATTTAATGTTTTTATATAAATTAATGATTATATTTAAAAGTGGTTCAAGTTTGAAAAATCCTAATCCAATTAAACCGCACCAAATCGAACCGTTTCAATCGGTGCGGTTTGATGAGAGAAGCGATCTATATCGGTGTTCAAAATAATAAAACCGACATTATTGGTTCGATGTAATTTTTTACCTAAATACCAACCGTACCAAACCGATTACATCCCTTTATTTCTGTCGACGAGCATACTAATGTGGCATGACAAATGTGTTAAGGACGTAGTATGATGACATGCTCAATGGAGGGCCAAAAAGTTAGTCATTGCAGCAATTTGAAAGTTCGTTGTTGAGGTCAAGGAGTCCAAATCAAATTAAGCACCAAACCTATAAATTTGTTCCTATCAAACATGGGATATGGATAATGCTGAGTCAATCAAGGGTTTGTTAAGGAAATCGTGGACTTAGATTATCTCTTTCTCTCGTATGACTGAGCCTATAAATAGGTCAGGAGAGATACAAAGAGCAATCAATTAATAATCCTAACAGCTATTCACAAAACGTAATATTTATCTAGTAGTAGTTTGAATTAGTAGTTGTTAGGAGTAGATTAGTGATAGCTTTCTCCAACCTCCATTTCTTGCTGTATTTTTCATTTCTTTGCTCTTATTTAAGTTCTTATAACTAATAGCAAGTGACAATTTAATTGAATAAATACATATTTTGTTCTATTCCATTTATTATTTATTTAATTACCTCCAAGGAAGTTTTTAATCTGTTTAAGGTATAGAACTCAACCACAAAGTCTGATCTTTTATGCTTATTTAAAATATGTTTTCACTATCGATTGGCTTAAACTAATTTTTTGCTAACAATGCTATAACTTGTTTTCTTTTTTTTGTTTTTTTTTTGATCGGCCAGTATGTATGTATTATTGTATTGTGTTGAACCCACAGAGCATGTTTGGTATGATGGAATGAGCTCGAATGGAATGCCCATTCTAGTTTTGCATTTCCTTTCCCTTGTTGGTACGCCTTATTTAAGTGAGAATAGTCATTCTATTGCAACGGTCATTCTTCTTTTTTTCAACTTAAGGAATGGCCATTCCATTTCATTATGGAATTACCATACAATTTTATTTATTTTATTTTTTTTGTTGACACTTAAAAAACATTATTATTTAACTAGTACCACCATTCCGTTTTCCTACCACTGTATTGCCACCACTACCGCAACCCTATTGCCACCGCGACCACCACTATCACCACTGCCACGGTCGCTGCCACCACACCACTATACTACCGATGTCACCACTATTACCACCACCACTACTGTTGGCCACCACAACTGCCGCCGCCGCCGCCGCCACCACCACCGCAACTATAACACCACCTTACTACCACCACTAAGGCCACAACAATCTACTACCACCATCTTAGTATTATTACTATCACCACTACCACCACTACTATGACTCACACTATCATTTTCACAACTATTAATATTATCACGATCTATATAAATTTTTAATTTATTTGTTACTAACTTGTTAAAAAACAAATAAATAATAAAAATTTATTTCATTCTATGAATTTAATAGGTATAATCAAACATGAGAATGTGAATTATCATCCTATTCCTATGTCATTTCATGTTAGCAACCAAACAATGGAATGGGAATGGACATTCCATTCCATTCAACCTTGTATTTCATTCTTACTCTTATTCCATTCCTACTTCATTTTATTTCGTCGTACCAAACATGGTCATAAAGTATGTATGTATCTTTACATATACACTAGCGGATGACACACGTAATGGGTGTACAAATTAAATAAGAATAAGAGAAAATAATAATAAAATTAATGTTATATTTTATACTTAACTTATGTGGTATGAGTCTTTCTATTTTAAATCTATGATCATGAATTCAAACTTACCCACCTATTTGTGTGATATTTTTTTTAAAAATAAAAAATACTGTCACGTGACATAAAGAGAGCAAAAGTTTCACTACACTAAT